TTTTCGTTGGGTAGGTTTTGTTTGCTGGAACTTGTATCTTTTTTCTTAAGTGCATAACCATGAGGCGGTAGGTAAAAGGCGGTAGGCTTTGCTCCCCTGCGTTCCACCCTTTTGTGTGGGGCGAGCTCCAGCCCGTCTTTATATTAACGAAATGTTGTCGTTACTAAGACAACGCCTGACTCCATGCACGTCCTGAGAACATCTGCTGAGGCAAACGCTTTGGCTCATGTAGGTCAGTCGCGTGCAGGAAAAACTCCCATTCGTGGAACTGGCTTGCGTTTCCTAGCTGAGCATATATATCCATATATCTCTCTCACGCGAGGGGTGATAAAAGGATGACCTTAGAAGGGAACTGCCTCAATTATCTAACGACCGAGGATAGCCTTAACCTGAGTCAACTGCTTGCGTTTACTCTCAAGCCACAATTAAAACAGGGAGAAAAACCTCACCAAAAAATTTTAAGGTCATCTGATGATGGCTTTTACTGATTTCTCCGGATTACAGGCCAGACTGGAGGTGACGTTTTGCTAGGCCTTGGAACTCTGATTTCAAGCTTCATTAACCCTCATTTTATCCGCAAGAGTTGATTTTACTAGCCTTATCTATGACATTTTAGGAGATAGAATTCCCGAGTGCATGCCAATTCTTTAGACTCTGAGGCTGGAGCAGTTCACAAATGTGAAGTGTGAAAGGTATTTCTAGGTCAGGTTGAATTCTTATGCGATGAAAAGCGCTTAAAGAAAAGCTCTCATTTTGAAAATGTTTGGAAGACCGCTATAACGTTAAAATATTACACCATTTTTGTATTTCCCAACTCTCAGACCGTATTCAATGATAAACCCTTCAAGGTTCCAATAGTTATCCCCGATTTAAGGCATACTGAGCACTAGCCTTGAAGCATTCTGTTTGTTTCCACCTTCATAGTCAAGTGTGCACTTTTGTGCCCTACTTGGAGAAAAATCAGTTCTTAAGTAGTGCATATTTACTCAGTTTATTCTCGATGGCAACACGGATTCAATGATATTTTTTATCCGATGACACG